TTATCATCATCAATTGTTTTATCATTTACTTATATGAATCTCCTTAGTTTGTTTGTTTTAGAGAAAAGTCACATTGAGCTATCTCCTGTGTCCACTATGGGGGAATCGAACCCCGGATTTTAGTGTTGTAAGTCCGTAAACTTATCGCTGTCCCATCCGGGGGACGGACCCTTGGGTATGATATTAACGTGTATATAAGAAGCTCATTGGTTTACATCAAGGCTCTGGAATTGATAACATTCCCGTAACTAAAGATAAAGATAACATTCAAGTAAAGATCTCATTATCATAAATTTCATAGATCTTACAGATAATCCACTTACACTGTTCTAGCACTGCATGGGCTAACCTTAGTTTTGAAAGGAATGTACTCTGCGTTCTTTATCGAAACATACTTATATATTCTAGAGAAAGGTACTCCGTATTCTTTATTGAATAGAAGGGAATCCGCAATATCCGCGGCGCTTGAAGTTATTTTAGGCAGAATTAGAGTAAATTAATCTATGAAACCTTGGGTATGATTAAATACATCATTCGGAAGGGTTTGACCTCTTGAGTCCAAAACTGTAATTAGATCTCAAATCGGGAAAAAGATGACGGAGCTATGAGCTAAAAGTTTGTACTTGAAAAACTCTGAGCCGTTTTATGAGATGCTGTGCCACGGCTAAAAATATTTATGTATTATATGCATAGCTTTTTCATCTCAGCTGGAAAGGTATCCAATATATAGCATATTTTCTGTTAACATGATAAAGTATATTTTACACAGTATGCTCTTTGTGTGATATAAGCAAAAGTTCCCGTCCCCAGTGACGGAAAATATTTAAGTTAATCTACCAATTCAAATTATTTCATGGACTTTAATAATGTTAATTGTGTTGCACTCTTGGTTTTACTTTATATCATCTGATAAGCTATCATTCATAGAATATACTGTTGTTTGATCTGTATACATCCTTTATATGATCCACTAAAGCGTATTTTTTATAATCTGACAAAGTGTTGTTCACACGGTCCTTTGTTATTTAACCAGACAAAGTATCATCTAATAATATATGTTTTGTTTGATCTAATAAGGTATGATTCACAAATATATTCTTTGTCTGATCTCATTACAATCACTTAAGTCATAAGGCTAGTTAGTTAAATATTGGCACACCATCGTTTCTGTAGGCCAGCTATATACACACATAGATTCAAACCTAATCTAACCAGTATATCTTTTTGAAGTACGCTGAAAGCGAAAACCTGACAAAGATTAAAGTCACACCAAATAGTAAAAAGATGGATCACGTTGAAGATTTGTTTGTTTGTTTAAAATTAAGTACAAAGCTACACAATGGGCTATCTGTACTCTGCCCACCACGGGTATCGAAACCTGGTTTCTAGCGTTGTAAGTCCGCAGACATTCCGCTGTACCATTTGGGGGCCATGTAGAAGAACAGTGCGGGTGTAAGGTCGACCGTAAAGTGACTGGGATTAAGCTTTGATCAGCTTTATTATTATCGATAAAATATTTCGCTTAAAATAACTATTGCTTTTTTTTTCTACTGGCATCAAGTTAAGTGTAACTTATTCTATGATAGCTTTCATAAAAAATATCCTAGAAATACAGAAGTTTCTTTTGCAATTCCTAGAATTTCATATCGATATCAACATTGATCCGTCAGTCTTCGTATGTACTGATGCCAGTCTTTGTATTTGGTGAACCTGAAAGGTCAATTTGAGATGAAAAAAACTTATTAAGAAGAAAAACATTTCATTTTTTTGTGAGAGAATTTCACGAAAAAAAAAGAGAGGAACAAGTTTGAGTATATATATTTTCGTTGTTTGGTTTATATATATATATTTATTTTCATGTCGGTATTATATACATGCATGGTATTATTGTACCATGTCGAATAAATTGAATTGAATATCTCCCTTTTGACACTTATAAAAATGATCTTCGGTAATGATCGTTTCTTGCGCTCAATAAAATGACAAGAAACGGTGGCATCCAGCTGAAAAAAATCCCCGCAGCTACTTAGCGAACCTGAACACTCTATTGTGCTGGTTGCGCAAATTGAATCGAAAACCAAACCTTTTTACCAATAATGCATTGCAGTCAGTTTTCTTTCCATAAAAACAAACATATTTCAATTTTCTTTATTGAAATAACACACAAAATAACAAAAGACGGTTGTTAATGGTCCAGTAGATCAATGCTTCTCAACTGGGTGAATGGTTCAACCAGAGGTTAATGGGATCAGAATCAGGGTGAATGAGTATTATCAATTATACAATAAATTCAAGAGCAAAAAACACATTATTTATTTCAGTTGTAGTTTGATAAATACGTTTATTTTTGGTTTATTTTATGTTGTATTCATTCTAGTTGTAGTTTGATGCATATTTAAGTCACAACAAAGAATTTTGCATTTTAATTTAGTACTTTTTTTTTTCGAACTGGGGTGAGTGAGCTGTTGTGGAAACTTATAGGAGTGAACGATATTGGAATAGGTTGAGAAGCTCTGGACTAGATAATCGTATTACACATACTCTATGATCCAAGAGATTAGGTTTACTGCATATTTTATTAATCGCTTTTTTTCAAGGAAAATCACCGTTGAATTGTTTCAACAGGCATCTGCTACTTTTTATTGTTTCTTAGCCTAATTCTAACTTTCTCAAGGCTATAAATGTCAACATTTACTAATTAGTACTTGATAAAAACTTACTATTGAAATCTGAATAGCTGTCTATTTCAAATATTACATAGCTCTTTACGATTGGATAAAGTTCTTCTGTATTCGGCGTGTTCTTTCCAAAGTTTAAGCTGATTGGCTAAAACCCTAACGGAAAGAAACGTGCAGTTAACATCTGCAAAGTTTCTTCGTGTAATTTTTCATATTTGTTAATTAAAAGTCCATCATATAAAGATAACGTTTTGCACTACTTTAAAAAAGTGAACGAAATTTTTAAAACTGACTTATTCTTTTCCTCCATACCTAACACCACGAGCCACGAGTGAACTAATCAGACGAACAGTGTAGACTGAAAATTAGAATTCTTTTTTTTTTTAAATCTAACTGGAGGGCCTAGGTAGACTTAAAATTGGGGATTCACTTCCTGTAAATTAACCAGTGGACTTGTGTTAGATTGCAAAATGGGAATGTATTTTCCAGAAGCCAACTTGAGGACTTGTATAGACTGAAAAATGGGAATGTATTTTCCAGAAGCCAACTTGAGGACTTGTATAGACTGAAAAATGGGAATGTATTTTCCAGAAGCCAACTTGAGGACTTGTATAGACTGCAAAGTGGG